TCCAGGGAAGGTCTCAAGCCAACGGCGCCAACGACCATGATCAGAATTACAAGTTTGGCTTGCATTGCATGCTTTTTGCGTTGCAGCCTTGCCGCTCTAGCAGCTTTGCCGTTCTAGCTTCAGCGTTGGATTCCGCGTGCGAGGCGAGAGCGGCTTGGGGAGATCCAGGGAGTGTCTGAAGCCCACTGCACCAACGACCATGATCATAATTACAATTTGTTTTGCACTGGAGTTGTTGTTGCGTTGAAGTTTCTGTTGCATTGCAACTTTGCTGTTCTAGCTTCAGCGTTGGATTCCGCGTGCGAGGCGAGAAAGGTTTGGGGAGGTCCAGGGAGTGTCTGAAGCCTACAGCGCCGACGACCATGATCAGAACTACACTTTGTTTTGCATTGCAGGTTTTATTTGCTTTGCAACTTTTGTTGCATTGCAGCTTTGCCGTTCTAGCTTCAGCTTTGGATTCCGAGTGCGAGGCGAGAGTGGCTTTGGGAGGTCCAGGGAGCGTCTGAAGCCCACGGCGCCAACGACCATTATCAGAATCATAGTTTTTCTTGCACTGTTGATTTTTGTTGCATTGCAACTTTTCTGCACTGCAGCTTTGCCGTTCTACTCTCAGCTTTGGATTCCGCGGACGAGGCGAGAGCGGTTTGGGGAGGTCCAGGGAATGTCTGAAGCCCACGGCACCAACGACCATGATCATAATTTCAATTTCGTTTGCATTGCAATTCTTGTTGCGTTGCAGTTTTGTTTGGATTGCAGCTTTGCTGTTCTAGCTTCAGCTTAAGATTCCGCGTGCGAGGCGACAGCGATTTGGGGAGGTCCAGGGAGTGGCTGAAGCCCACGTCAACGACCATAATCCGAATCACAGTTTTTCTTGCACTGGAGTTGTTGTTGCATTGCAGCTTTTCTGCACTGCAGCTTTGCCGTTCTACCCTTAGCTTTGGATTCCGCGGACGAGGCGCGAGCGGTTTGGGGAGGTCAGGGGAGCGTCTGAAGCCCACGGCGCCAACCACCATGGTCAGGATTACAATTTCGTTTGCATTGCAGTTCTTGTTGCATTGCAAGTTTGTTTGCATTGCAGCTTTGCCGTTCTAGCTTCAGCTTAGGATTCCGCGTACGAGGCGAGAGCGGTTTGGGGAGGTCCAGGGAGCGTCTGAAGCCCACGGCGCCCACCACCATGATCATAATTACACGTTTTCTTGCATTGCAGATGTTGTTTCGTTACATTTGTTTGTCTTTTTTTTGCATTGCATTGTTTTGTTGTGTTGCAGCTTTGCCGTTCTAGCCTCAGCTTTGGATTTCCGCGTGCCGTCTTAGGCGCCTCTTGAGGGGCCGTCTTGGAGAGCTCTGGGGGTCTGGAAGACCGCCCCGGGGAGCTCTGGCATCCTTCGTCGGATCTTGCCAGCACCTTGCCGGGGTACTTAGCGTCCGGGGACATCCAGGGGCTGGCCCGCGCGCGCGCGAACTAGAAACAGTGTTTACCAATTGCCAGGAATTTTAGCACGCCTCTAGCCCGTTGGGCCGGCGAATTAAAGTTTTAGGAGGTTTTCGGCCTGTTGGAGGCCTCTCGGGGCGCTCTTGAAGCCATCTTGGAGCCGTCTGAGGCCCCTCTTGGGCCTCTCCTTGGCTATTTTGGAGGCCATCGACCAACAAAGAAGGCGGCGTCAATTTGGATCCCCCGTCGGAACCCTCAAAATCCCCTCTTGGAACTCTCTTGGGACGCTCTTGGTGCGGTCTTGGGCACTCTTGGGGCCGTCTTGGGCCTCTCTTGGACCCCTTTTGGGGATCTCTGCGTCCATCCAGGAGCCATCCCGAGGCTTCAGAAGCCCATCGGAAGCGAAAAGGCGAGAAGGCAAACAAAGACATTGATTTCTAGTAGGTTTTGAACGGTTGTTGGCCTCTCCAGGGCGTCCTTGGGAGGCCCTTTGGCCACTTCAAGCCGTATTAGAAGGATCTTGAAGCCTCTTGGAGGTATGTTGCAAGCTATCTTTGACCATGCGGGGCCATCTTCAGCGATCTTGGAGGCCGTCTTGAGCTCTTTGGGGCCTTCTTGGAGCCATCTTGGACCATCTTGGACGCTCTGACCGCTCGCGAAAGGCCCCGTCCAGGTCCAGGGGGAGGGGGCACCGAAGAGGAAGAAGGGGGTTGGAAAAAGGGGGCATCAAAACCACACACGCCCTAAAGGGCTGGTGGGATTTTAGGCCCCTCCTCTGGGACCGTCAAAATCGCCTATTGGGGCCCTCTGGGGCGCCTCTGTGTCGCTTCTTGGAGGTCTCTTCGAGCGTCTTGTGCGTCTCTTGACAGTCCCGAGAGCCTCTTGAAGCGTCTTGGCTGCCTCTAGGGGGGAAAAGGCTCGTGCAGCCTCTTGAGGGCCTCTTTGAGACCGCTTGGGAGTCTTTGTGGCCCTCTTGGGGGTTTTCTTGGAGCCCTTTGGGCGCCTCTTGGGGCCCTCTTGGAAACCTAAGGGGCCCTCTTGGGACCACGAAAAAATAAAAGAAGAAACAACTAGAGAGCCCAGAGAAGGAATACAAAGTAGAGAGCCGCGTCAGCTGCCATATCAGTTCTTCTGTCCAAAAACAGAATAAAGCGCTGGGGCAGAAGAACTTTTCACTTCGAGCGGCTTAGAATAGGGGCTGTTCCCTTTGGGTTTCGAGGGGTGCATCCCAACTGGGATGCTGACCTGGTGGATGTCTGGATAGGGATGGGGATGGGGGCAGGGGCCAGCTCAACGATACCGAGTGAGATGATGCAAATCGGTCTCGAAAGCTGTCACCAGTCCCACGGATGAGGCGCGCGGCTCCTTTACAAAAAACGGGGCAGTCGCTGACCTCCCCCCCCCACTGCACGCCATCGTGCAGCCCTGTCGCACAACAGCTCGAAGAAGGGATGCCGATCTCGCTCGCGTCGGAGCTGACGCGCCTGTGCGCGCCTACGGGGCGCTCGTCTTCCAAGGGGGGAGGTGAGCATTTGACAAGGACTGCCTCTAGCGACCAATGAGACTGGCCCTCCTCCTTGATTTCCGCGGCATACGAACCGCCGGGTCCTGGGCTCCAGGGCCTCACCCTCTGAATCGTTTGTCAAAGCCCTGGGGCCAAGGCCCTGGGAAGCCCGAGAGAACGTCGGCACACCTCAGGACCTGTTTGCCTGCGGACCCGTGCCCTTCATGCCGAACGGTCCTCCTCCTTGATCCTCCCTTCCCTCCTCCCGCGCTCTTGAGAGATGCAACAAACGCTGATCCTCAGAAAGTGTGTTAGTGCAAATATACGCTTGTCCACGATGTCTTGCGATACGTCGCATGGCGTTCCTATCACCAGGGCTGGCACAGGCTGTGTGCCATCGGCGACGCTGAACGGGGCAAACACACATTTGGCTAACACACGTCCTGAGGATCATCGAAACAAGGTCCGGCTCAAGAAGGTTCGTTTCGCACGGAGGAAACCAGCGACCATGCCCCTTTGCTTTTGGACGCCCGAAATGGGTACGGAAAAAATGGAGTACAATGCCCAACAACAAATGCTGCCCCAAACCAACAGCGACCGCTGTTGGGCAGGCGGCCTTCTGCCTCGAATGGACACAGGCCGCGGCGGCGTGGACAGCGAATCCTGTCCAAAATGAACAGGAAGTGCGGTTTGGCATTGTACCCACTCTTTCCGTACCCATCTCGGGCGTCCAGATTACTGCTCTGTTGCTGAGCTGTCCGAGCAGGGCCGCTCGCACGAGACCGACCAGGTGCAGCGAATCCCTGCTGGCAGTCTCCGCCTCCTCCGTGGCGACACGCGGCCCTCCCTCCCCTCCCATCCCCCCCGCGTCGAGCCCCCTGCGCACACTCCGTGGGGCACTCGTGTGGAAAGGGGAACTGGGACACGCAAACACATACACACAAATAACAGGATTCCCCATATCTTCCCATATTTGTTCTGGGTTTTTGTCTCCCCCCCACTTCCCATGTTTCCCCATATTTTCCTGGAAATCGAAGATGAATTGTGTCTGTGTGTTTCTTTGGGCGCCCGAGTTATCCGGGGTAACTCGGGTCCGGGGTAAGTCGGGTTTGGATTCCCGAAAAAGGAACCCGAGTTAGCCCTGACCCGAGTTATCCCTGATGATTCGGGGCTCTGGACGCCCGAGTTATCCAGGGCAACTCGGGTCCGGGGTAACTCGGGTTTGGGTTCCCGAAAAATGAACCCGATTATCCCTGACCCGAGTTATCCCTGATGATTCGGGGCTCTGGACGCCCGAGTTATCCGGGGTAACTCGGGTCCGGGGTAAGTCGGGTTCGGCTTCCCGAAAAACGAACCCGAGTTAGCCCTGACCCGAGGTACCCCTGATGATTCGGGGCTCTGGACGCCCGAATTATCCGGGGTAACTCGGGTCCGGGATAAATCGGGTTCGGAATCCCGAAAAACGAACCCGAGTTAGCCCTGACCCGAGGTACCCCTGATGATTCGGGGCTCTGACTGAGTGTGGCCCAGCTCCACGGGCCCTGCCCGGGCTCACCTCGGCCGCCGCCTCCCAGGGGGGCGGCACCTGGCCTCTGGCGCACGGCCCCCGGGTTGCCGCCGGGGGGCCACGCGCATCCGAGGCGCGCAGCCTCCCCCCCTGCTGGCCCGCACCGCCAACTTGCCGTCGCTCGGACGTCCACTCCCTGTGCTCTTCCCAGACCCCCGACGTCATGATTTTTTCATGACGCGCCCCCCAGAGGTCCAGACCCTTTCCCTATGACCGGTTTTTCGTCCTGAGTCGTTTTTTGACGCTCCCGAGGCCCGGTGAGGGCCCCCGGAGGCCGAAAATAGGGAAAAACCTCCCGTCGTGATTTTTTCATGACTCGAGGGGGTCTGGGTTTGCAGTCTCGTGCGCGGCTTCTTCGCCGAGTGATCACGGATGCTCCTCGAGGGTCCTCGCCGGGGAAACAATGCACACGTCCGAGCGATGCCAGGCCAGAGGCTCCTCCGGCGAGGGGTCACTCCTCACGCGCAGCCGACTGCCAGCCCCTCCCGGCGGAGGGCCTGCGCCGGCGTCGTCGGCCTCGAGCAGCAGGGCGCGGCGCGCGTCGGCCTGCAGCGGAGGGCCCTCGACGCCGGGCGCCGCCGTCAGGATGCGGAGGACGTCGGCCTCGGGGGCGACGACGGCAACAACGACGACGGCAACGACGACGACGACTACGACGGCGACGAGCCCAGATTCCCGACGGACGACGACGGCAAGGTCAGTCGGCATCGAATCGGGGAGTTAGTTGTGTTGGATCAAGCTGCGCGTCAGATCGGGCTCTATCGCCGCGGCGACAACATCGAGTCAGCAGACCCTCTGCGCTGCGACGTGCAAGAAGTCAAGGCAATCATCGGGCCGCGTCGGATGGCCAGAACATCGAAAACGAATAGGACGGCAAGAACATCGAAAACGAGATTGAATCGGCTCGATCGGATCGACATGGACCCCGCGGCGGTCGAGGATGTTGGACTTTTCTGGGCCTCTCCAGGGCCTCCCGTGGCGCTGTCGTTGCCACGGCCACGATGCGCCCAGGTTTCTCGTGAAGGACGAGGACGACGCCTTCGTTTGGGCTCCGGGCTGGGGCGCTTCGGGGAGCTCCCGCCGCCGCGGAATGCGCACCGCCTCCCAGATCTGCTCGAGCAGCCGACCACTTCCGCGCCCCCCGCGCACCGCCCCGCCCTCCGGGCCTGCCCCGGCCGCAGCGGCAACGCTGCACGGCCCGGGCACACAAGAGAGGCGCCCAGGGTTCGGTCTAACTACGGCCAGGCATGAAACGACACGAAGATCGGGCCAACATCGGGTCGGGAGAACTCGGAATCTCTGAGGATCGGCGGGCTTGGAGGATGTATTGGGCGCCGCGGCCGCTCCAGAGCGTTCCGGAACGCTCTGAGAGCGCTCCGGAACGCTCTGGAGCGATTTACCCAGACCCCCGACGTCATGATTTTTTCATGACGCACCCCCCCCAGAGGTCCAGACCCTTTCCCTATGACCGGTTTTTCGTCCTGAGTCGTTTTTTGACGCTCCCGAGGCCCGGTGAGGGCCCCCGGAGGCCGAAAATTGGGAAAAACCTCCCGTCGTGATTTTTTCATGACTCGAGGGGGTCTGGGTTTAACCCGATCCTATAGCCCTGTTTTAGGGCACCCTCCACCAGTCGCTGCTCCCTGCACCTGCCGCCGCCTCGTCGCACACCCCCCCCCGGGGCGTGCCGGCAGGCCGGCCAGGCCTCTCTCGCCCGACGCTGCCTCGCCACAGCGTCGTCCTCCTCCTCCTCTTCGTCCTCCTCCTCCTCGCCCTCCTCCTTCTCCTCCTCCTCCTCCTCCTCCTCCTCCTCCTCAGCATCCTCACCATCCTCACCCTCATCCTCATCTTCACCCTCCTCCTCCTCCCCCTCCTTCTCCAAGGGCTCCAACGCTTTGGCCGGAGGATCCTTAGGCCTGAAATCTGGAGCAGGTCCAAAAGCGGAGTGGCCGTCGCGCCTCGGCGCCGCGCACGTTCGCCTCAAAAGTTGGCAGCAGCTGCGAAGACGAAGCCCACGGTGGTTTTTGAGCGGCGGCTCTCGTCTAAGCGCCGCGCACATCCGTCTGACATCGCAGCAGTCTCCAGCATGGCGCACACATCGTTTTCAACATGCCGCTCTCGCTTTAGCTCTGCGCAAATGTGTTCTGGAAGTTCGTTCGAGGTGCTGCAAGGATGGAGGCCGGTATAATTCAACATGTGGTTATCGCTGCCGCGCCGCGCACATTCGTCGTCAATCCGCGGCAGTTTGAAGGAGCCGTAGGGTTGAAGTTTCACGAAAGGTGGTCTGGCGAGATGCAGGGTTGTCAAGACGCGGCAGTCACATGGACTTGTGGTGCTGGCATCCCAGGCATGGTGTTCTGGCACGACTTAAGATTGCCATTGCGCAATAGTCATGTTGACTCGCGGCGTTGAAGTCCCAGGAAAGGTGCTTTGGCACGTTCGAGGGCTATCATGCGGTTGTCTGTTAACGGGGAACTTCCCGCAGTGACCATGTGATATTGTAGGGACGTTCGATCAAGGACCTCGGAGGGAGGGTTTATTGAAACATGGTCCTCCTCGTCCTGCTCGTCCTCCTCACGGGCGTTGCTTTACGGGGGGGCCCATACACGGGAGGGTTGAGACAGGTTTGCACCTTCCCTGCGCCATCGGGGGCCCCATGGGGGGCCCTTTTCGAACCCCTTCGATGCAGCCCTCTATCCCCCTCGCCCCACCACTGGCCGCCCCCGGTGACGAAACGCCCGATCCTCCCGACTTTCATGCGCAGGCTGCAGGGCGCACACACACCCGTAATCGGCGCGAGCAGCACGCGGCGCACCGCGGGAAGCGAGGCCGCAACCGCCTTGAGCTCGGCCCGGAGCGGGAGCTCGGATACTTTGGGCTGCTCCCCCCCCCGTCTCTTCTCTCTCCCCTCTCTCCCCTCTCGCCCCTCCTCTTGCCAACCTCTTCCCCTCTGCTCCCCCCCCCTTCCCCCCTCGTCTTCCCCCATGGCTGCTCCTCCCCCGTCCTCACCGAAAGGGAGAGAAAGATACATAGAGAGAGAGGGCTTCCCTCTTCTCCCCTCACTTTCCCCTCTCTTCCCCGCCCCTTCCCCCCCCCACCCTTCTGCCCCACTTCCCCCCTCTTCCCCCATGACTGCTCCTCACCCGTACCTCCCGATAGAGAGAGAGAGAGAGGGGGAGCCTCCGGACAGCTCCCCTCTCTCCCCCATTCCATCTCTTTCCCCCGCTTTCACCCCTCTTCCCTCCTCTTCCCCCCCTCTTCTCCCCCCCTTCCCCATGACTGCTCCTCACCCGTCCTTCCCGAGAGAGAGAGAGAGGGAGCCTCTGGACTGCCCCCCCCCTCTCCCCCCGTCCATCTCTTCCCCCCTCTCCCCCCTCTTCCCCCTGTTCCCCCCCTCCTCCCCAGTCTCACCCCCCCCCTTCCCCCATGACTGCTCCTCCCCCATATTTCCAAGAGAGAGAGAGAGAGAGAAAGAGAGAGACAACAAACAACAAGAGAGAAAAAGGGAGAGGGCTTCCCCCACTTCCCCCCTCTTTCCACCCCTCTTCCCCCCCTCTTCCCCCTCCCTTCCCCCCTCTTCTCCCATGACTGCTCCTCCCCCATCCTTCCCGAGAGAGAGAGAGAGAGAGATCGGCGGTGAGCGAGGGGGGGAAGTGAAAAACATAAGGCCTTCTCAGAAGGCGGCGGGACTTTTCAGAAGCCTTCGCGCCTTATGAGCAACTTTCTTTGTCTTCGGGGGAAGCTTAGAAAACGGTTCGGAAGCCCGGGGGACATCCGAGCCTTCTGAGAAGGCCTTCTCCTTCTCGCTTCCCCCCATGGGCTCGCCGCCGAAGAAAAAAAGCGATAGAGAGAGAGAGAGAGATTGCAAAAAACGAGGGATTGCAAAAAAAACCCTTGGACGAAGGATTGCAAAAAACCCTTGGTTTTTTTGTTGCAATCCTTCGTCCAAGGATTTTTTGTTTTTGCAATCCTTGGTTTTTTGTGCAATCCTTCGTTCGAGAGAGAGCGAAAGGGAGGGAGAAAGGGAGGGAGAAAGAGAGAGAGAGAGAGAGAAAGGGAGGGAGAGAGAGAGAGAGAGAGATGGAGAAAGGCCTTCTCCTTCTCGCTTCCCCCCTGGGCTCGCCGCCGAAGAGAAAAAGCGATAGAGAGAGAGAGATTGCAAAACAACGAAGGATTGGAAAAAGAAAACCCTTGGACGAAGGATTGCAAAAAACCTTGGTTTTGTTTGCAATCCTTCGTCCAAGGTTTTTTGTTTTTTGTTTTTGCAATCCTTGTTTTTTTTTGCAATCCTTCCTTCGAGAGAGAGCGAAAGGGAGAAGGAGGAGGAGGAGGAGGAGGAGGAGGAGGAGGAGGAGGAGGAGGAGTGAGGAGGGGGAGGAGGAGGAGGAGGAGGAGGAGGAGGAGGAGGAGGAGGAGGAGGAGGAGGAGGAGGAGTGAGGAGGGGAGGAGGAGGAGGAGGAGGAGGAGGAGGAGGAGGAGGAGAGGAGGAGGAGGAGGAGGAGGGCGAGGAGGAGGAGGAGGAGGAGGAGGGGGCTGAGAGAGAGAGAGAGAGAGAGAGCGAAAGGGAGGGCGACGGCCTCCGACAGCGCGCGGGAGTCGAAGGGGCGGACCTCCGGCGGCCGACGGGCAGAAGAGGGGAGGGCCAATCGGGGGGCACGGCGCCACAGGGCTGCCCATCGGGGGGCGAACAGGTGGAGAGGGGGCCTTATCCTCCTCCTCCCCCTCCTCCCCCCTCCTCCCCCCCCTCCTCCTCCCCCTCCTCCTCCTCCTCCTCCTCCTCCTCCTCCTCTCCTCCTCCTCCTACTCCGTGCCTACAGGCACGCCTAAAGGCACTCCCCCCCTCCCTCCCTCCCATCGTGGAAGCCAGGGGATACCAGTGGAGGGTGGGGGCCAGTCGGGGTGGCCAATCGGGGGACGAACAACTGGAGGGGGGGCCAATCGGGGGGGCCCCCCGTAGGTGTGGCCAATCGGGGGCCATGCGACTGGCTGCCAAGTGTAGCAAGGACTGGCGGCGCGCAGAGCGGGGCAGGGGGGAGGGGTGACAGGCTTCTTAAATGGAGGCTGCTCCTTAGAAGGCGCCGGCCTTACATCTATAGAGGAGGCCCGCGCGCACGTGCAACAAGGAAATGAGACACCACTCGGCGGCAAGCGAGGGAGGGGGGAGGGAGAAGGAGGAGTCCTTCGCAGAAGGCGGCGGGGATTCTCGGAAGCCCTCGGGGCTTCTGAAAAGTTCTCTGCGTTTTCGGGCAAGGCTCAGAAAAACCTCTCAGAAGGCGAGCGGCTTCCAAGCCTTCTGAAAAGGCCCGCCCCTTCTCACTTCCCCCGCGGGCTCGCCGCCGAATCACAACCGCCAGCGCGAGGAGCCATGGGAGGGTCCCTCTGGTGTGCCCCCCCCTCCCAGCTCGAGACATCCCCTAGTCCCAGCTGGGGGAGGCATCGTGGACTCTCTGGCTGGAGGTGGCCGCCCTGGTGGTCGCATCGTCTCTACATTCTCCGATGGCGCCCCCCCAGCGCTGGAGGTTGCCGCCACGAACCTGGGGGAACAAAGACAGTATCAGAGGCACGCTGCAGTGGGTAAGACATCAGCGCGTCACTGTCGAAGAGAC